GGCATGCGTGCGGCCCAGGGTCGATCCTCAGCACCACATACAAACAAAGATGTTGTGTCCGCCGAAAAACTAAAAATAAATAAATAAATTCTCTCTCTCTCTCTCTCTTAAAAAAAAAAACAAATAAATAAAAAGAATTCAAAGCCAGCCTTAGCAATTTAGCAAGGCCCTAAGACCCTCCCTGTCTCCCTGTCTCAAAATAAATTATAAAAAAGGGCTGGGGATGTGGCTTAGTGGTTAAGCACCCTGGGTTCAATCCCTGGTTATAACAACGACAACAATAACAACAACAGCAAGGTGTGGTGATACATGCCTATAATCTCAGCAACTTGGGAGGCTGAGGTAGGAAGATGGCAAGTTTGAAGACAGTTTGGGCAACTTTGCAAGACCCTGTCTCAAAATAAAAGATAAAAAGGGCTGGGGATGTAGCTTAGGGGTAAATCGTCCCTGGGTATGATGCCCAGTACCACATTAAAAAAAAAAGATAATAAATTAAAAATAAAAGCTGACAAATTCTACAAAGTCCAGAAAAACAACTTACTTGTATTAATTAACTGTACCTCTATACTTTCCAAAGACTAGCTACTGCCTCTATATATTTCAAATCTTGCTACTCCTCTAACTATCCAGGTACTTAGAGTGCTAAGAACTTTAAAATAACAATGTGAGAATAACTACAAATCACAGAAACATAACCCAGGAAACTGCAAATCTGATGTTTTCACACCTTATCTTCTCCATAACGAGAACTCCGAAATGTACACAGCCATTCCAACACAACGGGGAGGATACAATGGAGGGGCAGCTGGAGTAGAAAAAAGATTGGTCTTTACCACTTGCACTTAAAATATATAATGTTTGCAAAAATTTACAGAAGCCTATGACCTGGTGAACAGCTTGCTGGAGTGCTCCCAGAGTCTGTGTAAGTGAGTGATCCTGGATTTCATTAGTTTCATGGTGAATGAAAACTTGAAATTCTTGTTGTATATTGCAAAGCAGCTGTCAGCCTGCTTAGAAAGCCATAGTCTCCTAAAGGGCTTGGAAGCTTATTTTTCTGCTTTTCAAAATGAGCATTTCATACCTTTTTTTTCCTCAAACAATCTGTAGCACTTTGGATGCTGATGGGAATAATGCAGACCCCAGGGTTGTGAGTAGACCCAGTGGGGGTGGAGAAATCAGCCTGGGTAGCAGGGAAGACCCCCTCCCACAGTGAGGTGGGGGAGACAGAGTATGGCAAATAGAAGAACAATGGATCTAGTTAGGATGCCTTTTTTTTTCCCCATTAGGGAGGTCTCATGTTGCCCAAGCTGCCCAGGAACTAGAGTACCTGGAACTATATATAGGCCTGCACAATTACAATCAGTTCAAAAAAATTTTTTTAGTTGTCGTTGGACAAAATATTTTTATTTTATTTACTTATTTTTATGTGATGCTGAGGATTGAACCCAGTGCCTCCCACGAGCTAGGCAAGCACTCTACTATTAAGCCACAACCCCAGCCCTCAAAAATGATCTTTTAAACATAAGTTGGAGAATATGCCTGTCCTGATGAAGATTCTCCACTGGCTCCCCATTGCACTTAGACTAAAACCCAAACTCTCTGGGAGCCTCCAAAATTCTGTGTGTTGGGCCATGCCTGACCCTCCCGTATTATTTTTGCCACTCCCAAATTCTCTGTCCTAGGTTCTTTGGCCCTCTTTCTCTAGCTGCTTCGATCAAAGCCCTTTCCTATCTCAGGGACTTCGTATTTGCTGTTCCTTTTGCCTGGATTCATGGCCTGGTCAAATTATCACCTCTTCATAGAGGTTGTCTCTGACCACCTGTACAAAACATAGCACCACACTCTCATTACCAAAAATCGTCCTCCACTCCTCACAACTTTATAACCATCTGAATTATATTTTCTTCCTTCTTGATCATTTTCTGTCTCCTTGTCCCCCACTATAATGGAAGCCTCAGGGGAGCCCAGATCCCGTGGGCTCCCAATGCCCAACATAAGAGGCACTGTATAAATATAGGCTGAGTGAATAAATATAGCAGCTGCGCTTATAGACATACAGATGCCCAGATTGTTTTACAGTTCCCTCCTGGGGCCACTGTCACAGCTCAGAGCTGAAAAGACAGTATTGCCAGTTACTGACACAATCTAGACGGAGACTCAGACCTCTGCTTAGATGAAATATGCTGAAAGAGACAGGAGACAGAAAGCAGAGAAAAGAAACGGACCAAGAGAGGAGAGACTGAGATAGACAAAGACCGGACCCAGACTCAAAGAACAGGAAACCTGGGCCCACAGAAGCCCCAGCAGCAATGGGAGACACTGTCAGGAGGAGGGACGCGGAGGGAGGCGGAAGGCGCTGGAAGGCGGGACGAGCTGGAATCAAGCGGAAAGCTAGCGCGGCTAGTCCAGGAGACCCGGGCCGCCCCTGGCCTGGCTCCCAAGTGGCCGCGGCAGGTGGCCATGCGCCCGCCAGCCCGCCTGCTGGCGCGACGCGTGCGGGATCAAAGCAGCCGGGAAGGGGCGGGGCGGGGAGGTGTCAGGAACCTGGAGGTGCGAGCGAGCGAGCTTCCCGGCCCACCGCGGGAGCGTGGGAGCGCAGAGTCCCGGGAGGCTACAGAGATCTGGAGAGACGACGAGACATCCCGAAGAGACCCAGAGACAGGACGAGAGAATCCCAGAAACCCGAGAGAGACAGACACAGATGCAAAGACCGGAGAGACCACGGAGGAACCCAAGAAATCGCTAAGAAACCTGAAAGAACGTGAGAGATCCAGAAATAGAGTCACCAAGAGGCATTCAGAGACCCGAAAGACAGCAAGGGGAAAAAAAAAAAAAAAAAGGCCCGACGTCCCAGGGACACGGGAAAAGGAAGCACGCTTTAAAGAACAGGAAATAAAGCGAAAGGAAGAGAAGTGGGAAGAGGGAGGAGGGCGGGGAGACCTTGCTCCTCCCCCGCCGAGGGCCGCTTGGACCCCCGGGGTGGGGATCCGAGGGCCGGGTCCTTTCTCAGGGTCACGCCTGTGGAAGTGCAGGCCACGGGAGGAGAAAGGGGTGTGGAGGCAGTAGGATCCCCAGTTGAGAGAAGGGAAGTCGGAGGACGTGCGGAATTTGGGTCTAGAGAGTCAGAGGCTGCATTTAAATGTTCGGTAGAAATGTTTAAAGAAAGATTTTTTTTAGAAATATCATCAAATACGTTCCTTCCCCTTCGGAGACAGAGGAAAAGGAAAAAAGGAGATACTATGCATTGTGCGTTTTAGAAATATCATCAAACATATTCCTTCCCCTTCGGGAAACAGAGAAAAAAGAGACTGTGCATTGGCCGGGAATCGAACCCGGGCCTCCCGCGTGGCAGGCGAGAATTCTACCACTGAACCACCAATGCAGACAGGAAGAAGGCTTGTGAGTATCTTAGTTGAGCCTGGAAAGACTGATGCAAATGTAAGCCCTGGGCTCAAGGAAGGAGAGGCCCCTAATGGTTAACGTGGGTGGAACGCCAGGTCATTCTTACTCCCTCCTGGATCCGGCCACCCGGCCATAAAACCAGTCCATATGGCCAGGGGCGGCCCCACACCCGGGTGCGAACAGCCCAGGGCCCCGAGCCTCGCGTGCAGGTGAGAAAAACTCAACCCGAGCCCAGGTTCCCAAGGAGGGGGGCCGCGGGGGCGGATGGGGCCATACATCTGCGTTCCCATTTGGCCCAGGTAGGGGGTTGTGGGGTGTACCGGGAGGTGGGGAGCCCTGATTCCAAATGGAAGCCCCCTTCTCAAGGACTTGGCCCGTTCAGACTAGGACTTTGGTAAGACAGGCTCCGCGAAAATACCAAGATGTGGAGGGGCGCTGGAAGGGTTTGGAGGCAGCTCCACTTGTCTCTGACTCCACAGCTATCTTCCATCTCTATCAGTAACCCTGTCTTTCTGTGTCCTTGTCACTGTCACTCTTGTGATGGCTCATCAAATTTTTGATTTTTCTTCTCAGGTATTTCGTCCTGAAGTCTCCAAGTGTTCACCGGTCTTTCTGCAGAGGGTCATGTTCTTGGTTTGAGGTAGGTGTTGATTCTCTTTTTGTATCCTTTTCTTTCTTTTTTAGGAAAACTTCCTGCTCCCCTACAGTCAGGAGGGTCCTCCAGAAGCAGGCAACTCAGGCACACTTGTGTAAGGTGTCCGGGCAGTGAATTTAGTTTTAAACCAAATATTTGTAAGTGGAAAGATCTTTACTCCTCTCCATACTTTAAAGACTAAATTCTTTAAAGAATAGATTTAACACTTTAAAGACTAGATTCTTCTTCTTTGAAGTTCCCCCTGTCCATCCTCAGTCAAGGTACTTTTCTCAGAGTACCTACTTCACTTTGTTTCTATAACGGCTGCTTTTCCACTAGATCTGCGGGATAAACTAGGCCTCTTGTTCATATGAACTGTCCAAACCTAGATTAGTGGCCCTTGTGCACAATGAGGGTGCAAGATATTGGATAAGTGAATGTAATTGATTTAGAACAGAGCGCTTTTTCCACTCCCAGACAGAGGCCCAGCACAGTTGGGTTGCTCTCTATAGGAAGCAGGAGAGGTACTTGGGGGGAAAGGTGTATAATATTCAGTTTGGAGGCTGAGAAGTGTTTTTATTTCAGTGCTAGTGGGGGTACAATGAGCCTACAAAAAGGCTGCAATTCTAGGAGAACTCCGAATTTCATCCTTAAGTGAAGTCTGTCCTGAATTACTTAAAACTCCCTCTACCCCTAATAGCCTCCTCCTTTCAGCTGGGTCCCGCCTCTTTATACAGCCTTATGGTCCTTATACCAGCCGGTGCCTCATTCCCCATCACTTCCCACACTCCCAGGCCAGTTCCCCTCCCCCTTTCACTCCTAGTCTTTCCGGGAGCCTCGTGCCGGGGTCTTTCCCGGGTGGGATCTAGGTGCTGAAGGGGGCGGGGCCGTATTCTATCCCTCCTACCCGGGCTCTGCGGGATATAAGAATCCAGACAAGCAAAGACCTGGTCCGCGCCAGGGTCCGGAGGAGCAATGGTCACCCGGGATCGAGCAGAGAATAGGGACGGGCCCAAGGTGAGAGGCGGGAGGGGTGGGAGCAGAGGTCCTTGGTCCGGCCGGGGAACCTGGGCACTGACACAGTGGGTCGGTGGTGAGGCCGGGACACAGGGCTGAAATAGGAGAGGTGTCCAAGGGACCCAGGGAACCAGGAACTGGAAAGGAAGCTGCAAAGTGTGAAGGAGGTAGTGTCTGAGTAGGACCTGCGTGGGCGGCGGAAGGAGAGTTTTTGGGGTCTGGATAACCTGGTCATTCAGCACCTTACGGCCTAAGGGAGTGGGAGGGGGCTAGAATTTCAATAAAACCAAGAGGATACAGTCAAGGGCTGAGGGTAGGAACAAAAAGAGAAGAGGATGGGCATTCACCACTTAGGCCGCGAGCCAGGACTGGCCCAAGGCGGTCTTGGAGAGAAAGCCCTGGGTTTTTGTTTCAGAGGTTCGAGATCCGGTTGAAGATTTTAGGGTGAGCAAGTGGAGAAGGGTGACGGCCTAGACGGGTTTGAGGGAGAGGAGGAGGCGCGGTCGCGCTAGGTTTCTCCCTTTCTACACTCAGGGCCGCCAGCTCTGAGCCCCGCACCGTGCGGCCCACTTGCCTGGGCGCAAAGAGGGTCTCCAAAGTTCTCCACTGAGACAGAGACCGCACGAGATCGAGACGTAGAGAGAAAAGAGGAGAGACACAGAGAGGGGAGGAGGGAGGACGAGACTGAGAGAGGAGAATGCAGAAGATCCGGGAGAGAGAGGAGGCGAGCTACAGAAGCGGATCCTAGGGGCGTCGGGGTGGGGGCGGGGGGGAGCGGAGGTGGAACGAATGGGCTCCGCCCTAGTCAATCTGGGATCCTGGGCAAGGAGTGGGAGGGGGCTCTCCCAGCGGCGGGATCCCGACGCCGGTGCGGCTGCGCTGAGTCTCGGTCCGGTGGGCCCGCTCTCCCTTTCCCGCTGGTCGCAGATGCTCAAGCCGCTTGTGGAGAAGCGGCGCCGGGACCGCATCAACCGCAGCCTGGAAGAGCTGAGGCTGCTGCTGCTGGAGCGGACCCGGGACCAGGTCAGTCCCTCCACCAGCCCCGGACCCCCAAGCAACCCGATCCTGCGTCCAAGGGATTCCCACTGGGATTGGGGGGGGGGCATAAGCTGGATTGGCCACCCTGGCCCCAAGACATCCTGACCCGAGCCCCGTCTTTGGAATCCTATCCCAGACCCCCCCCCCTCGCCTCTCATTCTCAGAGGGCAATCTTCTTCGCCACCCCTCGGGTCTGTAAGTTTCCTTTCAAGTTCTGTGAATTTCGCTCCCAGGGTGGGTCAGTTTCACCTTCGGGTTTCTAAATGCCCCCTTTCCATACATTCCCCAAATCAGCCAGCGTCAGTTCTGCCGGTGGTTTTCACTCGCTGGGTTGCTCTTTCAAATCTCCTCACATATTGGGTATTGGTTTCATCCCCTGGGGCTGGACAGTTTTCGTCTCAGGGTGGGACAGGACCATTCTTGGTCATCTCACTCCACATTCGGTCGCGCGTTCTATGGGCAGCGCGCAGTTGCGTTCCGGGGGCACCCCCAGCTCCGGTATCCGCCCCTCCCTTCTTCCCCCTGCCACTTTCCCCCTCTCTCCCCACCCTTTTCTGTCTCTGCGCCCTCCCCTCCCGTCTGTAGAACCTCCGGAACCCGAAGCTGGAGAAAGCGGAGATACTGGAGTTCGCCGTGGGCTACTTGAGGGAGCGAAGCCGGGTGGAGTCCCCGGGTACAGCGCCGGGGTCGGGTAGCTGAGGGAGGGAGGGAGGACGTTTGGAGGCTCGGGACGGGGAAGCTGGGGCGGGCCCTGCGGTGGACGGTGGGCTTGGGGAGTGGCCGACTCTACTCCTAGGCGAGGTTAATAACACCCGCGCGTGTCTGTCTCTGTGTCTCTGTCATTTTCTCCCTCTTTACATCCATCTGGCTTCCTGTCTCTATGCGCCCGTCTGATCTCGGTATCTCTGCGCCCGCCCCTTCCCTCACCCTTGCTGGGCCCCTGCCCTGCCCGCCTGTCCTCCCGCCGGCCGCACCCGCCGCCGCGGCTCCAGGGATTCCCCGGTCCCCAGCCCAGGACGCCGAGGCGCTCGCCAGCTGCTACTTGTCCGGTTTCCGCGAGTGCCTGCTCCGCTTGGCGGCCTTCGCGCATGATGCCAGCCCGGCCGCCCGAGCCCAGCTCTTCTCCGCGCTGCAAGGCTACCTGCGCCCCAAACCGCCCCGGCCCGAGCCGGTAGATCCCAGGCCTCCAGCGCCGCGCCCACCGCAGGACCCCGCCGCACCAGCCCTTGGCCCCGCGCTACACCAGCGCCCCCCAGTGCACCAGGGCCCCCCTAGTCCGCGCTGCGCCTGGTCCCCATCCCTCTGCTCCCCCCGCGCCTGGGATTCCGGCGCGCCGGCGCCCCTCACCGGACTTTTGCCGCCGCCTCCACCGCCTTACAAACAAGACGGGGCGCCCAAAGCCCCGCCACTCCCGCCGCCCGCTTTCTGGAGACCTTGGCCCTGAGTTTTGGGGGTGGGGTGGGGGCGGGGGCTGGGGGAGGGGTAGAGACTCCAGCCGGAGGGCAGCAGAGGGACCCGGGCATCCGGGCGAGGTGTTGGGGAGGGCGGCGGGGCGCGCGGGCTCAGCGCGCGGGTGAAATGTGGTCTATATTAGAGTATCTATATAAATATATATTTCCCTGGTTCCTGTCCCTTTTCCCTGCCCCCAACCCCGCGTCTAGGATTGTACCTTTCTAACCCCAGCCCAGCCCCAGCCCCTTCCCGAGTCCCTAGTGCATGGAATAAAATGGTTATTAAATCCCGGTGTGTCCCGGAGCCGGGGGCCTGCCTTTATATCGGCGTCCACGCCCACTTTCCCTTCCCTTCTGTTTCCCACCCCCAGTCCTACTCTCCAAGGCCCAAGCTCCGGGGTAGACAGGTAAGTAAAGAAGAGAGCAGAGCGGATACTGAGGTTGGAGCTGAGACCAAGACGAAAATGCAGATAGGGCAGGGGGAAAAGGTCGGACAGAGAGAAAAGAACAAACTTGAAATAAAACCGACTCTGGTGGGATTCGAACCCACAACCTTTGAATCGCTCTTTCGTCACTAGAAGTCCAATGCGCTATCCATTGCGCCACAGAGCCACCTGGCGGGCGGTGGCGTCTCGTAGCTTACGGGTAGTAGCATGGGGGAAGGGGGCAGAATGAGTGTTGTTGACAGGAAATTGGGCGGGGCGTGTTAGGAGCCTATGGTTAGGATCTCCGCGGCCAGCCGGGGAGGAGTATGTTGCTCAAGCACGTGCGCCAGGTGGGAGTGAGGGCGCACAAGTGTTCCAGAAATAGGGAGGGAAAGCAAACAAACAGGAGCGAGCAAGCAAGTGCAGAGCTTCGGCTGCCCGCTTGGAAAGTGCTTCCAGCTCAGGTGCAGTCCAGTCCCACGTAGCCCCACTAAATAAACTTGTTTTGCTATAAATTTCTGAGTCCCTGTCTTTTGGTTTGTTTTGCCATTGTCACGATGCAGTTCAGAGGCTCGACGGTTCCCTGTTCTTGAGTTTTAAATGTGAAAAGGGAAACTAGTCAATTTAACGTTATCATCTCTAGCCCCATTTTCCTTCTGCTCTCTTAGGAGGACAACGAAGACAACAAGCTTCCATGCAGGTAGCGTGGCCGAGCGGTCTAAGGCGCTGGATTTAGGCTCCAGTCTCTTCGGAGGCGTGGGTTCGAATCCCACCGCTGCCAGGCCAGAGTTTTTCCCTTGAGCTTTATTATCGTGAATGAGTGCCAAGAGCACAGCAGGGGTGTATAGTTTTACAGGGACCATCGAGGTGTTTTAACTGCTGACTGTTCTCTTTGGTTTCCGATGCAGATAGTGGATATACATCCATACCCCAAGCCCCAAGCCAAGATCTGACAGAAACTGTTTGTGTAAACCTATATTTCATAGTTGTCTTCATTTTGACATCGTCCCCAAGTATAACTATCTCAAAATTAACACGACTTCCTAAATATCTCAATATCCAGTAATTTATCTTTGGATGTCTGTTATAGCAGCTGCAACTATCCTGTCTGAAGACTTTAGAGAAAGGTCTTAAGTAGCTTCTTTCGGGTCACATGAGAATGTCACAAAATCAGCAAATAATACATTGGATGTAGTGGTATCAAACCTAAGAAAAGTTAAGGTTCCACCGAGATTTGAACTCGGATCGCTGGATTCAGAGTCCAGAGTGCTAACCATTACACCATGGAACCCCTCTTTGGGGCCCTCCTTCGAAGATTATATACATTACTTAACACCCTATTTTGTCATTTACGGAAACCCGAACAACCGCTCCTGCTTACTGAGCATCTGAAATATTAATAAATATGTACTGTCAATGTCTAACGCTTAAGGCTGTACGAAAAAAGGAAAAAATTATTAGAAATGCATATTAAAATAAGATTCGGGAGATGGGGTTAAGTAAAATATATTATTAAGATATTTCACTCTATTCTTTTTACTCTTTTTGATATGGTTACTAGAAAATTTAAATATATATTTGCGTAGCTTTTGCTACTTTCCCTCGGTCATTCGTTCGACTTTCTTGAAAATAAATCCCTGACCCACCTAAAACCATTTCCTCTTAAAAGAAGGTACTATATTTTCTTTTTATCATGCTTTTGTTCAAAGGAGAACTGTAAGTTGTATTCGAAAACAAACCTCACAGGGGGAGAAAAAGCAGACGCCCGAACAGGGACTTGAACCCTGGACCCTCAGATTAAAAGTCTGATGCTCTACCGACTGAGCTATCCGGGCTCTTGCTCTAGCCGCTTTCTCTTATCTATAAGAGGTTTCTCGTATGAAAGCGCAGGCTTGTAAGAACTGTGTGCTTTTAGGCAAAGGACCCTGACACCCACTTGGAGAAAATGGTTGTGGCGCACCAGCAGCTAATTGAACTTTTTTCACTTTCCTTCTTTAGAACGCTGTTAAAGGCTGAAACTCCGGCTGGAGCTTCGCGGAGTCTGAAACCTTAGATGCCCGGACTGGCCGCGCGGGGCCGCTGCGGGCTACAGCCTTTCCTTCCCAAAAGGTTCCTCTCTGGCCCCTGTGACCTGCATCCTGGAAATCTCGGGCTCTCGGGCTCCCAGGCTCCCGCCCACCGGCGGCAATCTGAGGGCGAACCAAGAGCGAAAAGAATGCCACTTGAGGCTTTTAGATGCTGTGCACTAGGACTCTATTTTATTCTCTCCATCGGCCCTTTTCCAAGGGAGAAACTGAGATCGGGTGTGCCAAAGGCTGGAGATAGAGCTGAGCGTGCGGAGTGGTTGGAGAGCTTTTGCTGACCTCCCCGTGGTGTGCTATGCTGGGATGAGTCTGCGACTCACCTGCAAGTGGTTATAGTCACGTGTGATTTATGACCGTAAGCGGCTCACCTGTGAATACTGAGTGATTCACAGGGATGATTCACGTGTAGGAATTCGGATCCTCTGTGCTCAGTTCTGTCTGGGAGATAGGAGAAAAGGGTCTTGGAGGAAATTGAGGAGCGGGTATATAAAGGCCCCAGGGATCAGTCGAGTCTCCTGAGTCCCAGGAGAAGAACAATGTTCCAATGATACAGGCATCATTCCTCCCTAACTTTGTTCCTCCCTCCCCAGTGGACCCAGGCTTCTGATATTCATCTGGGTGAGCCAGCCAGAGGGACCGGCTGTGCAAGCAAACAAATATTAGGGTGCAAGTCTGTGGGCGGGGAAAGGAAGTCCAATCCATCAGCCAGAATCTTCGGTGAGAGAGGAAAGCAGGTGCATCCCAGAGAGAGCTGGGACCTTCCTCAGGCCTACCCTTCCCTAGCCCCTAGCCCTCAACATCCCACCCTGCGGCGACTGTCGATCACCTCCTCCAGGCCATTTGCTGCTGTGGCCAGCGTTGCCTGGGGCATTCTTCCTTTCCTCCCACCATGGCAGTGTACCGCCTGTGTGTGACCACTGGTCCCTACCTGAAGGCGGGCACACTGGATAACATCTCTGCCACATTGGTGGGCACGTGTGGTGAGAGTCCGAAGCAGAGGCTGGATCGAGTGGGCAGGGACTTCGCCTCTGGATCAGTAAGTACAAAGGAGGAAGAGAAAAACCTCTGAGGGGAAGGGCCCGCAGGCACCCTGAAGGAGGGGAGGGGATGATTATCCCTGCTGGACTCTCCTGTTTTTGCTGAACTCGGGATGCTCGCCTCTTTTCTGGGATGCTTGACCTCTTTTCTGGGATGATAAACCTTACCCAGGCACTACGGTACAGAGGAAAGAGTACAGGCAGAGGCTTCCTGGCTCCTTCCATAATGGACAGTGGTCTCTGGGCAAGTCTCTTTCCCTCTCTGAGCCAGTTTTCCCTTCTCTAGAGCAGATCGCCTGCCGTCATCAGTCTCAAGGTTATTTGCTAGTGGCCTACGTTAGTGTGTCCTACCAACCAAGGTGGCTAGGGAAATCCAGTGCCAACTCTGCTCACACATCCCCTGCTTCTACCTGGATGAGGGGCTGCATTTTTCTCATTCCAAAGGAACTGCGTGGGTCAGCAGCAGCTCAGGTTTATAAATTGGCATAAGCCGAGATGTGGATGCACCTTGTAGAGTGCAAGGTTGGCCTTGCCAGTTACCTGCCTTTCACCAGCTTGCTCCCTTGGTCACTCCAGGTACAGAAGTACAAGGTGCGCTGCCCAGCAGAGTTGGGCGAGATCTTGCTGCTGCGCCTTCACAAGGAGCGCTACGCTTTCTTCCGCAAGGACTCCTGGTACTGCAGCCGCATCTGTGTCACTGCCCCAGATGGTACCATTATCCACTTCCCCTGTTATCAGTGGATTGAGGGCTACTGCACCATGGAGCTGCGGCCAGGAACAGGTGAGCCAGCGGGTAGGGCTGTTCTGTACTCCAGAAGGCATCTTTGGGATTAAGGGTGGTGGCTCCCTGTGTGCAGGATGTATGACATAGGGATGGGATTAGGAACTGCACTTCCACGAAGATGTTTTCTGAAAAATGTGCTATTAATACCCTGAAATGCAAAGTCTTTCTGGGCAATATTTACTCCTCTGCAGGCACACACAGACATACACTCTTACACAAACACACACACACAGCTAAGCAATTTGTGTTCCACAGCCTCCATCTGCACTCTTAAATAATTCATCTGGAACCCAGAAGGAACCAGCAAGCTAATTAGATTTCAATAGGTGGAGAAGCCCTGAATGTATAGACTGTAGCTGGAGAGTCTCAGTCCCCCATTTTTAGCTTTTCTAGAGTGAATGAATGAAATCCCTGAGAGGTGGGTTTGAATCCCTTGTTGAATTTGTGGGGTCCATTCAAGGATATTGGGCTTGAGTCCCTCCTGACTCCAGAGCTGGCATCTCCACAGAGGAAACAGCAGGCTGCTCTGTTTGTTGAGATGAGTGTCAGGGATGAGTGATGATATTCCAGGTCAAGGGTAGTTGAATGAACATGGCCTCATAGGCTTCACTATGAAATGCCATCCTTCCGCACAGTGCATCCATTAATCCACAAATATATTTGTTTATTAGTTGTTTCCCAAGTGCCTGTTATATGCATGGTGACTGGGGCCATGCCAGATGCTGTGAATACAAAAAAATGAATAGAATGTGACCTGCCTCCAAAGAGACTACAGTCTAGAGATGATTTTTTTTTTTAAAGGAAAAAGTTAGAAAAGTGTTATAATTTGGGGATGTAGTTGACTCAAATCCCTGATGAGTGCATAAAGAACATGGGAGCATTCCCCACATAATGCACATGAAGATGGCTATGAGGTTGGGCTCAGGTGTTAGGAGGTGCAGGCTATGTTTGTAGGAGGAGGTGTTATTTGAAAAGAGACTTATATGAAGAATAATTTTCATTCCCTGCAGCAAAAACTATTTGTCAAGACTCCCTTCCCCTTCTTCTGGATCACAGGAAACAGGAGCTCCAAGCCCGACAAGAATGCTACCGGTGAGGGTGGGCTAATTTGACTTTTTTTCCCATCTGTATTCTGACTTCAGCTTTAATCAGATCATTCCTAACTCTGACATGGGTTTTAACCTCAGGGGCCCAATTCTGATCAGAACCTCATTTAAATCTAACCCCAAGCCAGGCATGGTGGCACTGGTTTATAATCCCAGCAATTACAGAAGCGGAGGCAGGAGGATTGCAAATTTGAGGCCAGCCTGAGCAATTTAGGGAAACACTGTCTCAAAATAAAAAAAAAAAATAAAATAAAATAAAAAGGATTTGGAATGTAGCCTAGTGGTAGAGCATGTGTTGAGCATGCTTGAGGCCCTGGGTTCAATCCCTAGCATTGGAAAAAAAAAAAAAAAAATCCTATCCAGATCTGAAGCCCAGTGCCTTCATTGAGAAATTTCCAATTCTCTGTTGCTTGCCCCCAAAGTGAGTGGTTTCTGGAGTTTTAATCTGAAGTCATATTTTAAAAGCTAAAGCTTCTGTTTATCCCAAGTTTGATCTGCCACTTCTGGGCTTTCTCTGGGCAGCTGGAAGATCTATGCCCCTGGCTTTCCTCGAATGGTGGATGTCAGCAGCTTTGAGGAGATGGAGTCAGACAAGAAGTTTGCCTTAACCAAAACGACACCTTATGTAGAGCAGGAAGACAGGTGAGGGCCAGGGCTTGGGAAGGAGGTGGAGGGGTGTAAAGTTGGGAGTATGGGGGCCGAGTGGCCTAGAAGGAGGAGTCTATAACAAATACAGTTTATCAGGAGCAGAGGGGGACCAGGGATGGGCCCGAGGGGTCTAGTAGAGAGGGCAAGGGGGGAGCCAGGAGTGAGGGGAGATGTGAGGTTAGGACTGAGTGAGGTAATTAAGGGGAATGGGTTACATGTTCTACTGATTAGTTTCTGTCCTTCCTCCTCCCACCATCTCTTCACAGCCCTGGGAATCGTTACCTGCCTGGCTTCCCCATGAAAATTGACATCCCATCCCTGCTGCACATGGACCCCAATATTCGATACTCAGCCACCAAGACCACCTCGCTGATCTTCAATATCATTCCTGCGTGAGGCCACTGCCCTCTCTGCACTCCTGCTTGCTGTCCCTTCTGCCCCACCTCTTTGATGCACATCTCACATCTTTGACCCAGTACCTCTCCCTGCCCTCCATTTTCATCTCCCACTGATCCCAGGCTCCCTCTACCTGTTCCCCACCTCCCTTTTCCTTATCTCTCAGTCTCCCCACTCTCTGCCACCTCTGCCCCTCTCAGAGCACCTACTCTGACTGTGGACTGAGGGATACTGGTGAGACCATTGAGCAGGATAGAAGCCTAGTCCTTAAGCTCTAAGTAGGTGGAGCCAGACCACCTCCAGCTCAAATCCCAAAACCAACACTTTCTAGTTATGTGTCCTTGATTTCTACTTTAGACTCTAAAGAATCTCCTCACTTGTAAAATGACAATAATGCTGGGTGTGGTGACACACACCTGTAATCTCAGCTACTTGGGATGCTGAAGCTGGAGGATCATTTTTTCAAGGCTGCCTGGGTGACTTACTGAGATTGTGTCTCAAAATGAAGTGAAAAGGGGCTGAGGACAGAGCTCAGGCAGTAGAACGCTTGCCTAGAATGTGCAAGGCCCTGGCTTCCATACCCAGGACCACAGGGGAGAAAAAATTATCCCTACCTCATAGATTTTGAGAAGCCTTAAGTAAGACATCCAGCATATAATAATCTCTCAATAGATTTTCCTTAGTAGTAGTATTCAGAGACAGCCTTTGGAGGGAGGAATTCACAGGGTCACTAAGGAGGCATTCATGCAGTTAATTAGCCATCAAAGGAGTCAGCAGTTTAAGTCAATAGCTGGAACTCTAAGTGTGATATGGCTGGAATCCAGTTAACCCTCTGGGTTCCTGGAGAGGAGAGGGGTCAGCTGAGTCCGGGCAGTTCCTTTTGGGAAAAGAGGTGGGGTTGAAGCAGGCTGGGGAGAGAGATGGGGGAGAATAGGTGGGTCCTGTCAAACCTAGTTTGGGGACAGTAAGCCAACAGCTTTGGCAGGAACAGGAGACTTAGTTGGTCACCTGTGCAGGGGCTGTATGTGGCCTTCCAGAGAAGGCCAGGATAAGGAGCTGGGCCTCCATCTCTTGAACCTCTGTATCCAGGATGATTCTTTACAAAAGCAATAGACAGAAGGGAGTGCAGAGGCGGGGGAGTGGACACTCTGGAGTGTGTGCAATGCTTGAAGTGTGTAGGCAGTGTGTCCTGGCTTGGCCTTCAGGACAAGAACACCTTGAGAGTCCCAGTTAGGACTAGGGACCAGAGGAACATCTGAGAAGGCAGAAAGAGTCCTTTCGTTGGTTCTCAGATATGCAGGTTTAGGCAGAAAAGGGTCCAGGAATCCACTGGAATCACCATTCTGGGGCTCAGAGAAGGGTCAGAGGGACAAGGGAGCTGATGTTTTGCTCCATCCAGGAGTTTACAGGAATTGAGCATGGGGTGACTTCAGGGTGTTGTGAAAGAAATTTGTGGCAGGCCCTAAGAAAGGAAAGATCTCTCTCTCTCTCTCTCTCTCTCTCTCTCTCTCTCTCTCTCTCTCCCTCCCTCCCTCTCTCCCTCCCTCCCTCCCTCCCCTTTATTTGCCTCCTTAGCCTCTGCTTTCATGATTACCTTCCTGCCAGCTTTTTTCATCTTCTGGGTTTTGATTGGCAGGCATTGAGCAAATATTTGTGGGATGAATGAGCAAGTGCTTAGTGAGTCCAGGTGGTCATGAATCCCTCCTTCCCCTCTGCCTTCCCCAGTTGCTCATATTCTTTCGGGCACATCAATGTCCTTATGTGGGCTAACTTATTGACTGCCACAAGCCGACCAGTTCCATGCTCCATTCCCTTTCTTTTGGTTCAGTCCACTTGATGAGTGCTTATTAGAAGCTGGGTATCTTGGGGCATACAGACTGAGTCTTGCCCTAAAAAGCTCACAGTCTAATGGGGGTGAAATATATACCCCACCCCCCTGACACACACTATGTTGATAATGAATGCAGGCGATAGTGGGTGTTTCGTGCAAGACCCAAGGCATATTTTGGGGAAGCTGAGTCAGGCAAGACTTCATAAGGACTTCACATCAGAGATGCACCTAGCAGAACAGATAGATCTCATAGTAGGTAGAGATGTAGGAAATGGCTTTTTAGGAGAGGCCCAGCTTGAATGAAGTTCAGAGGCAGGGGAATTTAATCTCAAGCATTTTCCCCCCTCTGATTGTAAAATAATGTTCACTATAAAAAAATTTAAACAGTATACACATTTACACAAAGTCCTCTCAGCTTGCCAATTCCACTTTTACTAGTCCATTGTAGAATGTTCATCTTTGAGCCAGGTGTGGTAATCCATGCCTATAGTCCCAGATACTCATATGAAGCTGAGGCCAGAAGATCACTTAAGCTCAGGAGCTCAAGGCCTTGGTTGGCCTTGTCTAGTGCACAGAAAAAGCTGGAAAGGTTGATTGAAACTGACTGATGGGAAGCTTCATGGACTACTCAGGCTTGGCACTTGGAGCTTTGTTCTTTAGGCAGAGGGGAGCCAGTGAGGATCTGGGACAAGAAGGAAGGTTAAAAGAAAAGCAGGTCAAAGTACCAGTGATCATGACTTTTCTGTATCTGGGGCGAGGGCAACACTTTTGCATCCCTGCCAGGGATGTTTGCTTTTGAACCAGGTACCCGCCAGGCTACAGAGCCTCACTGACACCTAGACTTTTTCTCCCAAGCAGATTATTAAGCACGTTCGACTCTGGGAAATGACTCTGTCAGTTCTCTCCAGGCAGGAACACGGTGGCCCCCAACAGACCCCAGGCCTCACTCTCACCTTCCCCATCCTTAAGGTCCTTGGGCATGAAGATACGAGGGCTGCTGGACCGCAAGGGCTCCTGGAAAAAGCTGGATGACATCCACAAAATCTTCTGGTGCCACAAGACCTTCACCTCAGGTGTGCAGAGCTAGGCAGGGGATGCCCACCCTTCAATTTACCTCCCATTCAGACCTCTTCCTCCCCTTCCTGGGACACAGTCCTCTCCCAGTTCTCCCAGGGAGACTGCTGGATTCAAGTGGGAGAAACTCCTGGTTCCACTGATGATATCCTCCAGATTCTCCTCTGAGGAGGACATAAGAATAGGGAAGTGAGAATAGAGGGACACTGTCTTCCCCAAATAGGTTCATGGTCATTTAGGAGTTCTGATCTTGATCAGGGGCACACAGTTCACCTCCTTACTCCTGCTACCAGGTGTTCTGAGCTTTGGGTTCAGAAAGTCTTAGGTTCAAATCCCTGCTCTACCATTCAAGTGGACAAGTCACTCCATCCCTCTGACCCTCTGTATCTAGCATTCAATTGAAGATGTAATTGTACCTACCTCATAGAGTCGCTGGAAGACAAACCTAAGAATGAACAAGGGCTGGGCAGGACCAGGACCTAGGGAAGTAGTTTTGAGACCTACTGGTCCCTTCTCTTGCTCCCCTAGAGTATGTCACAGAGCACTGGTGTGAGGACAACTTCTTCGGGTACCAGTACCTGAATGGCGTCAATCCTGTCATGCTCCATTGCCTTTCCAGCTTGCCCAGCAAGCTGCCAGTCACCAATGACATGGTAGCCCCCTTGCTGGGACCAGGCACCTGCCTGCAAACAGAGTTAGAGGTTGGTGAGGAACTTAGCAGTGGGCCTAATAAGTGGGACATGGGTGGGTTGCCATGATGGACAAAGGGTGTGTGTGGAGGGTAAGGTTGGAATGGCCTAGGCCTGTGAGCCTCAGCTTCTGCACAGCCCTGGGCCCTGCAGCTTGTTCAAGCAGAGCAGATATGGACAAGAGCCAGATGGGCTTGGGATGGTTTGAGGACTGTCGGGGAACTCCAAGATCTCTGGTGCTGAGAGAAAGCTGCTTTAGGACAGGTCAATAGCAGGGCTAACAGAGGTAGTTGAAATAATAATGAAGGACTAGGAGCTTCAAGAATGTAGGAGTAACAATGATTCAGTCTCTCTAGGGCAGCCAAGCCCTCAGGAATTGTCCAGAAGGTTAGAGATGTCGTTGGTTAATTTTTTTTTTTGAGTGTTGATTTGCTGTTGTTGGATATACAGAGGTCAGACCTCAGAAGGGAATTACATCTGAGTTGAGAGAGTAGAAGGACCAGGTATGGTGGGGAGGAGGAGAGGATGTTGGCTTGTCCAAGTCGAGAGGCTAGGTGAGAGATTGCTCAAAGACAGACTCACCTCGACCTCATTCCGGACATTCTGGGAAGGGTGCGGTACCCAGTTTATGGCTACCCACTTGGCCATAAGTGCAGGCACCAAGAATTGCTGAGGCTGGAAATGGGGACAACAGCTCCTCCTTGAGGTAGGCAGAGAACGGAGAGGGAAGGTGAGCACTGGTGGGGAGGGTATGCTAAACCTCCGTGCGCCTTCTCCAGAGGGGGAACATCTTCCTAGCGGACTACTGGATCCTGGAGGAGGCCCCAGTCCATTGTCTAAATGGCCGCCAGCAGTATGTGGCAGCCCCGCTCTGTCTGTTGTGGCTCAACCCCCAGGGGGCGCTGCTGCCCTTGGCCATCCAGGTGAGCCTGAGGATGGGGCTTCGGAGGTTGGGGCCCCCTGAGGACAGTCTCGAGTCTCGCCTCCTCCTTACTCTTGAGTGCAGCTCAGCCAGACCCCGGGGCCCAATAGCCCCATCTTTCTGCCCACTGACTCCGACTGGGACTGGCTGCTGGCCAAGACGTGGGTACGCAACTCTGAGTTCTTGGTGCACGAAAACAACACGCACTTTTTGTGCACGCATTTGTTGTGTGAGGCCTTCTCCATGGCTACGCTACGTCAGCTGCCACTCTGCCATCCTGTCTACAAGGTCCGTAGCAAAGCGGGGTAGGGCCGAAGGGGGTGGGGCCCGGGCGGCATTCCCCCCCCCCCATCTTTGGCTCACGTGACCTCTTTCCACTCGCAGCTCCTGCTTCCCCACACTCGCTACACCCTGCAAGTGAACACCATCGCAAGGGCCACACTGCTCAACCCTGAAGGCCTGGTGGACAAGGTGCAGCCTCCCTGCCGCAGCTCTGAGGCCCCACCCTTGAGTATGCTTTGTCCCGCCCACAAGCTTTGTTCAGCCCCGAACCATTCCGCAACCCGGCTGGCTGCTTTCCACAAGCCCCGCCCCTCTGCGCCAGTCTCCAACTTGCCGGATTTATAAACTGTCCGCATTTGCCAATTCTCCCACGAAATCTCAAAGTGGAATAAACAGCAGTGGAGATCTGGGGGGTCCCCACTAAGACTCCACCCCCACCCCAAGCCACGGTTCTCTAGGCAATAGACCTCCAGCTCCAGCACTACCCTCATCTGACCTCACCCAGTCAAGCTCCTACCTCCCTGGCTATTAGGTCATATTTTTAGTTATCAAATATCTCAGGATCTTCCCTCTGTACGTAGCGGGGCTGCAACCTGGGCAGCTTGTGTCAGGGAGGCCCATCTGGATGCCTGATCTATGGTCGTGGAGGGTTTGGCTAACCTCAGAAGCCCCTCCCTGGGTCAAGTCGCTAGCCCCATCTCTTATCCAGGCCCTGGGGTGGGGTTTGGGCAAGCCTGAGAGCCAAATTGTTCTGTGTCTGCAGGTCACGTCCATCGGGAGGCGCGGTCTCCTCTACCTCATGAGCACGGGTCTGGCCCATTTCACTTACACCAATTTCTGCCTTCCTGATAGTCTGCGGGCCCGTGGCGTCCTGACCATCCCCAATTACTATTACCGAGATGATGGCCTGAAGATCTGGGCAGCCATTGAGAGGTGCGGTCCCAACCCATCAGCCCCTCCAGACTTAGCTCCTCGTGTCTGGGCAGTGTGGGGCCCCTGTGTATTCCTTCCAGTTGAGACCCTTGGGGCTGGGGATTCCAGATATTTTCAGACTCCAGACTAGGGAAGAATTGGAATTGGGGTGCCTTGTGAAATGGCCGCTAGAAAGGTATTGAGTGTAGTGAATGCAGTGGATGAAGGGAAAGGAAAGGGGGTGTCCAGAGGAGTCAGAGGTCAAGACTTTGTCCAACAGCTCAGGAGAGCTGTGACCTCCCAACAGGCAGGCTCCCTCCCGAATGGTGAATGAGGAGGAGGATGCAACCTGAGGCTGTTGGTGCATTCTCCCCCAGGACCCTGTGCAGAAAGGAGGACCAAAGTTTCTGTGACTCAGGACAGGAATGATACTTCAGGGAGTACTTGGGCCCTCAGGTCCCCACTGAGCTCCCCCAAACACTGGGGGACTCTCAATGGACTCTGACAGCCTGCCTCTCCCCAACCTAAGCAGCAGTGGACCTTGGTGTTCTGGCTAGGCTTGGGCTCAAGGTCACTTCAGGGGCATCAGCATCTCTTTCCTGCAGCTTTGTCTCAGAAATCGTGGGCTATTATTATCCCAGTGATGCGTCGGTGCAGCAGGACTCCGAGCTGCAGGCCTGGGTCGGTGAGATTTTTGCTCAGGCGTTCCTGAACCGGGAGAGCTCAGGTATTCCTTGTCGGTTCCCATCCCCACCCCAAACCCCTACAGGTTCTTGATGATCCAGTTCTCCCTCTGGCTTCCCGGCTTCCATTAACAAATTCTTATTTATTACTGTCTCACTTAGCAGATGAGAAAATAGGTTCAGAGAAGTTTACAGAGGCAGAATTCTGATCCTTCCACCTTTATACAAACTCATCCATTCACTTTCACTTACTGAACTCTGAACGTTGTCAATGTGCAGCATGCAGTGGTAGGAGCCATCTCTGACTTAAAAGGATTCTCGAACCTTCTCTCATGTCTTCTCATGCCTGTCCTGACAGGTGTTCCTGCCAACCACCAATGTCTCTTCATTTCCTGTGGCCACAAACTTCTTCATGGTGTGGGTTGGTCTTGTTGTTGCCTGACTCCTGACTGACATTTGTCACCTAACCTTAGCTGTCCCCTGTCTTCTGGCACTGCCTGAAAGGACTCAACCACCAACACCAGTGGTGCCTCTCAACCTCCTTTCCTTAAACTCAATGCCAAGCAGATGCCCCCACACAACCCTAATTTCTTTAATCTTCCATTAGCTCCAGGGAGGTTATGGCCTCCTGACACTCCTACTTCTTTCTGAAATCCAGCAGTCTCCCCATCCCAGAATTTGGCTTGCCCTGGCTCTCTGACTTCTCTTTCTACCCCTCTGCGATGGAATGAGCTCTTCTCCTATTTCTCCTCTGTGACTGATTTTCAGAAATCCTATATTCCCCCTCTCTGAAGGACTTTTCTTTTTGGCATCCCACTGTCACCCTTTATAGAGGAACTTCTTACCTTGCTTGGGTTAAAATGGTTCCAATGTCCATCCTTCAGTTTTCTCAGCCCAGCCTGAGACTTCTCTCAGCAGGGTTGTAGCTTTCAGCTGGCTTACTGCTTCTGGTGGCCACACAGTGGAGTTCCTGTCTTTGGAGACCCAGGGAGGAGAGGTGGTCTCAGATCACCTTCATATGGAGAGAATAGCTGTTGCAGTTCTATCTGGGATGGGATGAGGCTTGGAGCTTCTTTTTTTCTTTGTGGTACTGGAGATTGAACTCAGGGTCTCACACCTGCTAGGCAAGTGCTCTAACACTGAGCTACATCCCCAGCCCCTGCTTTTTTTTTTTAACAATAACAACAAAATTTTTTTCAAACATATAGCAATGTATAGTATAATCAGCATCCATTTGCCCATTTGCCAGATTCAACAACACTATTTCTTATTAATCTGTTGCTTTTGTTTATTGATGGAACTTTTGCAAGAAAATTATAGTCATCCTATTTCACCCTAGTTAATATGTCTCTTAAAATATAACATTTTTCTACAAAACCACAAGACTGTCTTAATTTCTCTTTTTTGCCCTCCTGGAGATTGAACGCAGGGCCTCATGCATAGTAAGCACCTAGGTAAGCACTGAGCTACACCCCCCAGTCCTACACTTATAAAACTGACAATAACTTACAACATTGCCCCACATCTAGTCCACATTCAAGTTTCTCTGCCTGTCCAGTTTTCCCCCAGTTGATTCCATTGATTCAGGAATCAATCAAGGATCACATGGTACACATTTTGTTAGTTTTGCCTCTAAAGTTGTTTTTAACTCAGAAGGGCACCGATTTCCCCCTCTGCTTTTTTTTTAAGAGAGAGAATTTTTTTAATATTTATTTTTCAGTGGATAAAAATCTTTATTTTTATTTTATGTGGTGCTGAGGATCGAACCCAGTGCCCTGCGCATGCCAGGCAAGCGCGTTACCACTTGAGCCACATCCCCAGCCCACCCCTCTGCTTTTTAAAATCATATGACATGGCCTCAGGGAAGAGCCCAGACTAGTTGTTCTGCACAATGTCTCACCTTCCAAATTTCTCTCATGGTTTTCTCTTGATGTCACTTATCTTGTTCCTTTGTCTCCTGTGTTTTTTTGTAAACTGGAAGAAATACATAAAGGTTGTACATTTTTTGGCAAGAATATTTCTCAGGTGATGCTGTGTCTTCTGCATTGCATCATCCTGGGAGGTGTTTGATGTCAGATTGTCTCAGTGGTAGTGATGCCAACAGTGATTTCTAGGTTAAGGTGGTGACAGCCACATGTTACTTGGATTTTTTAAAAGGTGACCTTTCCTGGTGTTCTGCCAACCTAATGTTGATAGGAGTCATCCTGATATGTTTCTCCACCCTACCTTTTGTTTGATTTTTGTTTTTCCTGTTTAAAAACTAGTCCAAGTGGGCACGGTGGTGCACACCTATAACTCCAGTGGCTCAGGAGGCCGAGGCAGGAGGATTGCAATTTGGGGGCCAGCCTGAGCAACTTAGCAAGGCCCTAAGCAACTTAGTGAGACCCTGTTTCAAAATAAAAAATAAAAAGGACTGGGAATGTGGCTCAGTGGTTAAGCACCCCCTGGATTCAATCCCTGGTAGCAAAAAAAAAAAAAAAGTTTGCAGGCAGAGGTATAGAGGTATAGTAATGCAGATACCCTGAGGCTAGAGCCTGTTGGTGTTTTTGAGGGCTATCAGGAACGCCTGTGTGGCTGGAGTGGAGTTAGAAGAAGAAAAGTTGAGAAGGAAAAGAGAAGGAATGGGAGCCAGATCAACTAGGGCCATGATAAGGTGAGTGAGAGGTTAAAAGTTTCTAGCGAAAGGCAACATCATCTGATTTATGATTTCTTTTTCTTTTTTGTGGTACTGAGGATGGAATCTAGGGCCCTGAGCATGCTATGCAAGTGCTCTACAACCAAGTTACACCACCCATCTCTGATTTATGATCACTTTGGCTGTCATGTAAAAAACTGGCTGGACAAGGTGAAACTAGTGGGATTCATCCAGGAGAGAGATGATGGCGATTGGGTAGTGGTGGAGATTGAAGAGAGATGAGATTCTGAAAATCTTTGCCAATATGTATGGTATGAGATAAAAACAGGAGCAAATGCACATGTTTTGACCTTGTCAACTGGATAAAGAATGTAGTTGTCTCTTCCAAGGGGGATTGGTTCCAGAATCTCCACAGAGACAAGATCCTCAGATGCTCCAGTCCCTCATATGAAATGGTATAGTATTTGCATAGAACCTACACACATCCTCATGCATACTTTAAATCATCTCTGGATTACTTTTAATACCTAATGTAGTGTAAATGCTATGTAAACGGTTGTCATACTATGTCTTAGGGAATAGTGAAAAGAAAAAAAAAAGTTTGTTGTTTTTTTCCCCCCCCAGATATTTTTGGTCTAAGTTTGGTTGAACCCACAGTTGTAAAATCCCCCTGTGCCGAAAGGGAACCACTGAGGGAGGGCTAGGATGGAGAGTTGGGGGAGTCAAGCGTTTGGTTTTGCATGGTTAGGTTGGAGGTGCCATGGAGATGGGGGGACATTAGGGAAGCAGCTGCAGGTTTATGCCCACTGCTAAGTCAAGTTCAGGAGCCAGGAATGTGAATCTGGGAGTTGTCAGTGAGTGGGAGCTGGGCAAAGCCGCAGACTGGGGTGAGGTTAGTGTGGT